GGGCAGCATTAGAACTGGGGCTGTGGGCAATTCTATCCAGTGATTAGAGAGCAACAGCACCTGGGCCAGAGAGACACCCATTTGGCTGGGTGGCCTTGGACCAGCATCTAGTGCTCAGCCCGTGGGGTGTTTTTCTTTCCTCCAGGTGCTTTGCATCGTTGGTTCCTACCTGTGCCTCCCATTCATGACTTTCCAACATAGTGCCTCATTAAGCAGGCACTAACCTATGCACCTTTGTTCTTGGTTGGATGGGCATCCTGTACTGCTCCTCACCCAAAATACCCCACTGTTGCTACTCTTCTCTCATCAAAGCCTTTTCTTTCTTATAAAATAGCACAGAATATGCACATTTCTACCTATTCATCCATCCTAACAATAGATGCCAGGCTTTTCCAGGGGTGGCAAGGTGGTGATGATGTATTTCTTCTAGCAGTGGAAATGCTGCCAAGATCAAGGTTTGCATGCAACCTACCCACCCTGGTTCTATGGGTGGTGCCTGTAGAGGTGTATATAAGGGTGAACAAATTATCTGTTGTTGTTTTCCAGTTACCTGACCCAGTGAGCTCAAGAAAAGGAAGGCTCTGTGTGTGTGGCGGGGGGATTCCATGCAGAAAAAAGGGCCCCTGGTCTTCTCCATCTGCAAAATGGAAGTGAGAGGACAAACAAGATGTGCCTTGCATGTTAATAGTGCTTTATAACAGAAGACTGAAATGAATTAGGCATTAATCAATGTAATTGACTGCAGAGTTAAAACTGTGGTTGAGTTGGGGCTTTCCCATGTGAAATAGTTGCTGTTCTTGGAAGCCAGTTGAATTGGGGGGCAAGGGAAGGGCTCTGGGGCCCCGGGGCCCCTGAAGTTTTTTTTGGGGGTGCCTCAGGCGTCTCCCATTAATGCTCTCATGGAGAAAAAGAGAGGAGGCAAAAGGGTTTGGTGTACCTGCTTCTGAAAGGGAGGTGCATAATGCAATCCATCTGTGTTCTTCTCTGATTGTTCAGGAAGAAGTTAGCTTGCTCTCAAATCCCTTCCAATGCCTTGGCCAATGAGTGCAGAGGCACTGGCATTATCAGCAAGGTTTAATTTTTTTAGCTTAAACTTTAATCAAATCAGACTGAATTAATTAAGTCACTTTATATTTAGACTCCTTGTATTTAAATGTTTGCTTATGGTTCCTCCCCCTTCTTGCCAGCATACACCTAGGCACTGTGCACATAAGTAACAAGGGGATGGCGTTGAGGGTGGCAGGCCCCTTCCTAATGTGTGAATGTGCAGGTGCTGCAAATAGATCTGTGTGCAAGCAGAGATGTTCTCCAGCTCCAGTAAGAAGTCTTAATGTGTTGTGTCAGGCAACACCCTTCTTACTCAAGGAATAAAAGTGCTTTGGAAGAGAAGCCAGCAGGAACCCAGACAGCCTCCGCTTGCCAAAAGCAGCATTGGCCAAAGAATCTTGCCATTGTTCATTCTGTGAAAGACGGGGGGGGGGGGGGACCCTGATTAACCATGACCTTGGCCTTTTGGTGGGAGGTCAGTCTTGCAGTTTGCTCTCTCTCTCTCTCTCTCTCTCTCAGGATGAGGTGCAATCTGGCTCCCATGGGAGTTGATGCTGAACTCAGTTTCTCCCCTGTTTGCTTATTTGTTAATTAATTTTCTGCCCAACCCTTGCTCTGAAAGGAGCCCAGGGCAGTAAGCAACAAGGTAGTAAAACAATGCAATTACAATAAAATAAAAACCTCTTTATGAACATTTTAAAACAGCTGCATATCCTCACAGCAAATAATTACAAAGTTGCTGGGAAGAGCATCTTTTCAGTCAGCAAATGCCCCCTGAATATAAATTGGACACACTAGGGAGGTCATTCCAAAACTGGGGATCCACCACCAAGGAGGCCTTGTTACAGAGAAACATGAGCCGGGCAGCACCACAATCAGCAGGGTTTCCCCTTCTGATCAAACTTGTGCTAATAAGTTTTCCAGGCCCAGAATGTCCTATTTGGGGGAAGGGCTGTTGTGAAAGGGATGCTGTGCAGTTTTGCCTCGGATTCTTCTTCTGGCTGCATCAGTATAGGAAGCCAGTAGTTCCTCGTCAATGTTCCTTTGCCAGTGCAAGGAAGCAAATAATGCCAAGGCAGAAAGCTCTAGGTCATTATCAGTGATGGAAAGACAGGTCTATCCCCATGGCAGAGCAGTGTACCCAGTCCAAACCACTAGTACCCCACAAAGAGGGAGCAGGTACCCAGGCTAGAGTCTTCTCCCAGGACTTGTTTGCAGTGCAAAGTTCAGCCCTGCAACATGCGAAGTAGCAATAAGCAAGATTGCTTCTGCTTATGTGCTGAATGTTTCTCCAATGGCTAACCACAATTAGCACTCATGCACAGCTTGGAAGAGTGAAAAGGAGGAGTGGGAATCCTGGAAGGACCACCTGATCATATAACAGGGCCATTCCCCATAGAGTTCAGAGCACAGGATGCCCCAAGTTGAGAGAAGGCAGGTGCAGATTCAGTGACTGGAGGGTGTGAGCCAAGCACCTGTCCACTGATTGATGATTGCTAGCATTTCAGCACTTTAGAGCAGCCTTTGTGGTAGCTGAGGCTGATGGGAGATGTAGTCTGACCAGGTTGGCAAAGGCTGCTTTAGATGGGTGGGCATTCGAGAGCCAGTGTGGTGTAGTGGTTAAGAGCGGTAGTCACGTAATCTGGGTAACCGGGTTCGCGTCTCCGCTCCTCCACATGCAGCTGCTGGGTGACCTTGGGCCAGTCACATTTCTTTGAAGTCTCTCAGCCCCACTCACCTCACAGAGTGTTTGTTGTGGGGGAGGAAGGGAAAGGAGATTGTTAGCCGCTTTGAGACTCCTGAAGGGGAGTGAAAAGCGGGATATCAAATCCAAACTCTTCTTCTTCTTCTTGCCTTCTTAACAGCTCTCAAGCTGCCCTGTGCTGGAAGGCAAGTTGGCCTTGTGTTTGGGAAAATGTGTGCGTATCTAATTTGACCCTTTGGTAAACAACATAAAAGGATGCTTCATCAGCTCCCATTGCTTGCCACACCTTCCTGTTGTAGAAATCAATCAGCAGCTGAGTTTGCCCAGCAGAGTAGGGAGGGAGAGTTGTGTTTCCTGCAGGGTGCGTCCCAGAATGGGCAGCAGCTGTGAGCACTGTAGTGTTTGGCATGGCAAGCCAAGAGGCTGTTTACTTAGCAGCTCTGCAAAATACCCGCTTTATCTGAGGTTGGCATCACCAGGGCGCTTTCGGTTCCCGACAACAAACTAGTCATTTATGTCTACTTACATAGTTTCCCAAAATTTGAGGCAACACAGTTTCAGAGACTAAGAATGAGCAGGTGACTCATGAGCTGGAGGCTGGCGACAGAGGTTATTTTCCTTAAGAAAAGGAAAAGGAGATAGAAGAGTGTATGTTGTATGTACAATTGGGTGCCCAGGGCTCAAATTTGAAATCTTTCGCCTGGAAGCTCTGTTCCAAAATCTCCAGTCTGATAAAGCAAGCTACTTAGTAGCAAGAAGAATGCACTTGGTACATGTTTAAAAGAAAATTAACCTTAAGGAAACAAGCCCAGGGTTTAGCTCAGCTGAGTGCCAACCCAGATGTAGCATCAGAGGGGGCTCTTAATCAGGTGGGAGACCCAGGAGAGGCCTGAAGTGCAGATGGAAGATTGCAAGCAGAATGCCCAAGGACTGGATGAGCTGCAAAGGTGGGAAGCTTACATAGGGGTCTCCCAGCCAATCAGAAGGTCAGGCAGGGTTTCAGTTTGAGGAATAGATGAAGGCATGGCAGTGGGAAGGATCCACCACTCCCTGGGATGGCTGAAGTGACGGCTACTCTTCAGTGTAGCATCTAGTGCTGGAGAATGAGCAATTTTAGGTACAAATTCTTCAAAAAAAGTAAATGTTGGGCAACCAGGAGGAATGGCCACTGAGAGGGTGAGTTCTGAGCAAGTGGGAAGCCCAACTGTGGCAGTTCACAGCTGAGTTGATGGAGCGGCCCTAATCCTGTCACTTAAAGTGATCTTTGCTGGTGCCAAATGTCACATTTGAGGACACCGAAAACACTCTATCTGAATGGTATTATAACCAGGATTGCAGGACATGGGTTGGTGTAATATATAGACCAGTTTTCTTCCACTACTCCCCAAAGGAACAAGGGCTTGCCGCCACCACTGTGAGATGATATTCCTTCCAATGGCAGAAAGAGAAGCTTGTATTGGAGCTGCAACTTTCTTTCAGTGGTGTTGTGCTTCCTTATTTTCTGTGGATGAAATATGCTCCTTAAATGGACCATGCCAGACTGTAGGGCTCCAGAAACTTCCTGGTTTTGTTGCCTGGTGGTTGTTTAGCATATAGCAAGGCTTGATTTGTGCCTGGTGGGCTTCAGTCAGTTTGGTGAGCAGGTTTAATCCAGGCACTTTGCCAGGCATGGCCTGGTTGGGCTGCTGTGGGGAGCAATTTTCTGCAGTGCACCCTAGGAAATTCTGTTGCATCGCTTGCAGAAATGCTAACTCTGGCTGTTGGGACAAGGCTACCTTCCTTTAACCACAGTCTGCAAGAAGAGAAGAGGCTTTTCTTCTTAGGAAAGCAGGATTGTAAGGTGCCTGAGACCTGACATGAAATCAGTTTGAAGTCTGTCATGAGCAAAGCAGATAAAAGGAATTGCCCAGTGCAGTGCAGTTGGGTGGGATTAGCCTGGCAGCTTTTGTCTAGAGCACGTTTGGAGCTGAGGGTTTAGCCTTGTGTCACAGCTACCCCCTATGTCCACAGAAATGTAATTTCCTCCCCTCAAAGATTGGTGCAGGCAGAACTGCTGGATCTAGGCTGGAAGAGGTTGAATGGAGGAGGAAAGATAAAGTAAATCCCTTGTGTTTCGTAAGTCCTAGCCGAGCGTGAGTGAAGGAGGGGCTTTAAAATAAATTATACAAATCCCGCTTCTTTCGTAGGAGGGTGTGTGCTTGTGCGAAGGTGCAGTGTTAAGTTCTGAATTAGCATAATCACAGAGAGCTCAGCACTGGGATAACTTTAATGCTCCTGGCTGTGGTTGCGGAGGAGCACCTCCCTGTGAAAAACTTTGTGCCTGTAAATCAGCCATGCCTTGCTCGGGTTGATGGGAGTTGTAGTCTTTTGACATCTAGTGGGTACCAGTTTGAGGAAGATTGCTGCAAAATCTCCATAACTATCCTTAAAAAGAAGAAGCAGATAAGATTGTAAGGTCACTGACAAAAAAAAGGGGGGGGAGGTGCTGTACATTTATGAACTGCCAAGAAGCATAATGGGTAACTAGAACTTCCAAGTGCAGAGGCAGCCTACCAGTAATACCAGAAACCTGGGACAAACTGTGAGGATCAGCCTATTTTCCTGCTGACCTGCTTGTGGCCTCCCAAGATGCCTCTGGTTGCTTATTGTTGGAAACAGGATGCTGGGCTGAGATGGACCTTTGGCCTTACTCAGCAGGTGTCTCCTTACATCATAGTTCTGTGTTAGCCAAAACTGCCCCCCCCCATCTTTCCCCAATAACCCCATCATAGTCCAGTCAAAGATTGCTGAATGGGCCTAGGAAATCAGGGGGTGTTGTTTGAATCAAAGCCTGCTTCCACTGCCATGGGCTTAGCCTTGGAGTGTGTGAATTAATCCTGGAAGATTCAGGACAGATCAAACAAAGTACTTCATGCAGCATATAGTCAAATTATGGAACTTGCTCCCCCCAAAGGCAGTGATGGCCACCAACGTGGATGACTTTGAAAGAAGATTAGACTAATTCATGGAGGGGAGGGCTATCAGTGGCTACTAGCCACGATGCCTATGCTCTACCTCCATAGTTGGAAGCAGCAATGCTTCCATTGTGCCTGAGCTGTGCTTGAGGGTTTCTCATAGGAATCTGGTTGGCCACTATGAGAAAAGGATGTCCACCTGTGCTGGACTAGGTGAGCCTGATTGAGCAGGCTGTTCTTATGTTCTTTCATTCTAAAGAAGTGAACGTGTTACTGGGCACGTGCTGAGTGAATTCTCACCACTGAGCAGCCTCAAGCCGCTCACACACCAAGGTGGAAATAGTGAAGAATGCCTTCTAGGCCAATATTGGGTCTGGGCCCCTCACATTTTAGAAATTAAGTCTTGAGGAAAGTGCTTTGCTTTGCTGCTTACTTCCAGCTGCTAAGTTGCATTACGAGGGACCTAAAAATACCCATCCAAATAGCCTCCTGATGTGGCTTGCCCGTGCAAGCAGTTTGTGTTGTTGCCTGGAGGAGCTGTTGTGCAGTTGTTTAGCAGATAGGGGTAAGGAGGGTGCTGAAGTCTGCAAATGGGCAGTGTGGAGGGGGGTGCACGAGGCGAGGCCCATAAGCAAAATACAGGCTGTGTTGTATACTTTTGCATGCCCAGCAAGCCCCATATATGGAGGTGCTCTGCCTTCTGAAGGAAAAATAGGGAGTTTTGCTGTAATCCTTGGTGCCGTTTAACCATCAACAGTCTTCTTATGCCTTGTTTGTGAAACACAACCCATAGTTTAAGACTTGAGCTTCAAGCTTTAATTGATTTAATCAGTAGATCAATCAACTAAATCTTTTGCTGATGAATCCATGGGAACAGATTTTAATTAGCAGAGTTTAAAAAAAACCACTTACCTATTTTCTGAGGCTATTTTGAGTAGTGTGCCACTGCCATAAAAAAAATGAGAAAAAGAAAACATTGAAGGTGGTCTTCTCCTGTTAATAGTCTGCTTTAAAATGCTACTGCTGCTGTCTCAATACAGTACAAATACTTTAGACTTTGGGATCTCCTGCCTGAAACCCTGGAGAGTCCCTGCCAGTCAGTGTAGACAGTACTGTGCTAGATGGGCCCAAGGGTCTGAGTCAGGAACATAGGAAGCAGCCTCATACCACCTGCCTTGTGAGTTATCAATTGTCATTCATTAATTACTCGACAGCCCTACTTAAGATCAGTTTGTAGGATTAATTTGCTCAGTGGCTCACCAGAGCACAGTCCTGGAATCTGCTTGTAGCTACAAGCCACATTCCCCAAACATGTGGATTAACACTGTGCTTCTGAGCATGTAGACTGCTTTCCATCCATGGCTGAGCTACTACAGCAAACCCTGTGATCAGTTTAACAAGGCAGGGACCCAGGTGCAACAGTGGGCAAAGTCCCAGCTCCTCCTTTTAAAGAAATGCTTTGTGAAAAGCTGCTGGCTACAGAAGGAAACCAACTTTGGCTTAAAAGTGCCCCCCCTCCTAACCAAATTGTTGTCCTCCAGGCATTTTGGACTACCACTTCCAGCAGCCCCAGCATCACATGGCCATGCTGGTGGAGTTGTAGTCCAAAACATCTGGAAGGTGTCAGGTTGGGGCTGTTAGAAAGGATGAGCCTCTTGAGCCAACAAACCTTTGCTGTGCATGTGGGCTTGGGAGTTTGCTTGAATTTGCCTTGGGATTCTTTGCTCACCAGGCATACTGTAGCCCCACAAATAAACTGAAATTAGCAGACGTGCCTTTGGCTTGTTCTCCCTCTCTCTCACGCCCTTCCTTCTAAATTGTCGCTAGGGGATACAGAGTCTGGAAGTTCCATCATCAGGTAAATATAGTTCAGTGCCACAGCTGGCTGCTTGGCTGGTCTTTCTACATCACACTGCAAGAAATGCAAAAGGAACCATGGTCCCCATGGATCCCTCAGAAATCTTGTACTCCACCCATCTCCTACACCTGAGCCAATCTTCTGGGTGCTCAGAGCATCTTATTGGAAGGACCCCAGAACACTCAAAGTGCTGAAGACAGTCATAAGGAAGTAGCCATTATTCATTTAAAGGAGTGCCCTCTTGTTATGAACCCAAAAGGATCCCCCCCCCACCAGGTAAAATGTCCCTCCAGGTTTTTTGAAAAACATATAAGGAGCAGGGAGGCATTAGTTCCTACTCTCTCCAGGCAAGGAAGAGGCATTATCCAAGTTCGAGGACACATTTAAGCCAGGCAAAACTGCTCTAGGATAGTGGTTTTAGGCAGGACCAGTGAAAGGTGTGGCCTGTGGAGACTCCCAAGGACCAGAAAGGGAGGTCTGTAGTATTTAGACTCCAGGTTCCCTACCCCATCTTAAAGAATCAGTTGGGGAGGGAGAAGAGATATTTCAGATTCTTAGTTGCCAGAGCTGAAATTTTAGAGACCATTTCAAGGAAGAGGGTGGAGTGGAAGAAATGTTACCATTCTTATATGTGGGCATCTTGTGTGAGTTGTTGCCACTTGGAATTTTTCCAAGACCGTCAAGCAGGCTTGAAGTAATGCCAGTTCAAAGCAAATATTTCATCTTCAAGAGAGTCAGTTCGTGTGATGAAGGACAGACCAATTTCGATGTCAGTATCTTTATGTGCATATTTGATTTTAGTGGGGAAGGGGATAGGCCTACATTCCCTCTTCCAAGGAGGAGGGGAATGAATGTATATTGGCACTCCTTTTGTTGGCATGTGACCTGATGAGGAAATAGCCAAAGAATTCCTGGCTGCAAACTCAACACATCGTCCTTTTATAAGTGAAGGGGAAAACCTCACATGGAATTCCTCAGATTCTTCCTGCAGGAAGCTGGGAGAGCCGTTAAAAAAGAAAAACTCGCCCTGTGCAATTGAAGGCAGTTTGAACAGCGAAGGCGGCGGTGGCACATGAAGGGCCTGCTTTGGTGAAACTACTGGCCAGATTATTGTTGCAGCTGCATCCAATTATTACAGCTAGCCTAGACGTTCTTCTGTGACTGTAATGTCTGGCTGTCTACTGCGCTCTTGAGCCAAGCAAGGGAAAGGCCAGGAAGGGGGTCTCTGTGTGCACACAAAACAGTATATTGGCTGGTGGTGCTCTGGGAAGAGAGGAGGCTGGGCAATCTCCCTAACCCTGTATGCAGCCGTTGCTATAGGGCTTTTTGGTGGTGAGATTTCCTGTTTGGTATAAATGATGCAATGAAATCTTGGTTAATGAGATGAATGCTCTGTGGCACCAGAATCCAAGCAGATAATCTGGATCAACTTTACTTGGCCCATCCCTTAACTGTTTGCCAAGTTTTCTCCCTCGCCTTGGGGGAGGAAATCATATTTAAAGTTTGAGTTGATTGACAAGAATTGCTCCTCCCCCAGAATTGCCTCGCTGGATTGTGCACCTGCTCTATGCAGCATACCTGTGGCCTGGGTTGCTTCGGTTGATTGTGGGAGGAACCTCCTAGGAGGGTAATTTCTTGGGTAGGAGTGTAAGCTATCTTTGCATGGAAAGTGAATTGCACTCGCCCACTTCTCCCCCCACCCATACAATCCGGGTTCAGTTGCTGCTTTTACCGGTAATCACAACCTTGCAGGTTTTGTGGGGAGAAGATGTGTGAACGTGCTGTTGCTGATGAGGCAACTGCTTTTTGCTCTTTGGCCATGATTTCCAGATCGTATAATGAGGAAATCTGTGCTTTGTCAAGTGTTCACTGTGGGTTCCTCAAATCAAGGTCGACAATCTTCCTTGAAAGAGTGTTTGCCCCAAGACTACCAGCAACTCCCTTCACCAGCCACAGAGTGTTGCAGGCTGTGCTTTTGGTTTCCAGGGAGAAGCCCAGAACACCTGGTATGAGCTGAGAATGATGCCCTCCTACATGACAAGGTGGGCAAAGTTCAATGTAGTAAAGCTTGAAAACTGTGTGACTACAAGGAGTTGGGACTATTGAGCATTAAGGATTCAGGGCCTCATTGAGGCAAACGCCTGTGCAATGTTTCTCCTGCCAGCTCCTGCAGTGTTGCTAGAGCTTAGAAACCTTCACCTTTGCTTGCTCTTGGTGCTTTGTTTCTGCAAATAGCCATGTTGCAGGGAAGCCAGATTGGCAGGGAGTGACTTGTTAAAAAGTGTTTGCACATGGTCAGAGGCGCTCCAGCCAGGGGCTCTTGCAGTAAAAACAAGTACGCTGTGAAGATCTATGACCCAAACTGAGCCTCTGGATGAGCCACTGCATGTCACTGCAGGGCTGCTCTTTTCACTCCTTGGGGTGATGCTGCCTACATTTCACCCCACCTTTGGTGTGTGTGTGTGTGGCAGCACGACCAAAATGTGCTGTGATTCATTAATGCAACCCCACCCTAGCCATAGCTAAAGTGGGAAGCTTGCTGCATTTCCTCTCCATCTGACCCCACTTACCTGTCTCCATTCATATTGCCCTGAAAATTTAAAGGAGGCATGTTCAGGTGAGGCTTTACACCTTACTAACCAAGGTTTACTCCTCACATGCTTTTGTTTGGAAGTGTGCAGTACCATGTGGGCTGGCTGTGGGTGTGATGTTGTGTGAGAAAGGCCCCCAAAAGAGGAACTCTTTTATTCTTTGTTTCACATGGCTTAATCCTATCATGTAGTTAGAAGCAGGTTATGTTGGGTCTTTGCTATGGCCCTCCTAAAATGGTGTGTTGCAAGGGAAATATCAGACAAACACCTTTGAAATCCAACTATGAAACATTAACCCTAGCATACCTTTGTGCAGATATTTCCACATAAAGACACATCTTGACTCTGTCCTGCTGTTTTCTCACACGTGCACACCTGTGCTTAAAAAAAATGGAAGTGAGGATGCTTTCATACACAGTGTTGTCAAAGCTGTAAGGTTGCAGGAGATTTAAATGACCTGCAACTCCTTAGCCAATTGCTGGATAGCAAATAAGAGCTAAGGAAGAGGGATTTACTCTGCACAGGTACCTCCCCTGTTCCATCATATTAATAAGCTCATCTGCAAGTTATTTCCCCTGCCCTCTTCTGGAAAAACCCAACGCCAGCAATTTATAATAGTGGTTGTTTTGTATGCCTAGGAGGAAGACAGTGCTGAGGTACTATCATTTCCTCCCCCTAGTGAAAATTGCAGCTTTGTGAGGATTGTTTGCTCTGCACTCTGCACATGTTCAAGCGGCGCGTTCTCACGCTCCAACGAAACGTCTCTACTATCTTTGCGGCACCAGTGTGCTACTCGAGGCAGAACGTTATATTTCTCTGGTTTGGGGGACGGTTGTTTGCAGGAGAGATTCGCTGGCAGTCGTGCGGGCGGTTGCTGATCGCAAGGCGTCTCTCCCGCCCCTCAAAAAAGTCTTGGCCTCCGCGAACCGGAGTCAGCGGAGGGGCGCGCTGGAGGGAAGCAGGGCGCCGCTGCTCTTTGTCAAGGGATTTGCGCTGCGACCCCCGCCCCAGGCGAAGGGGGCAGAGGAGGAGGGGGAGACCCAGACAAGGCGCGGGAGGGGTTGTTTCTCCCCTTGAACCAGCAAGATTCCTTTTCTCCCCCGCGGACCAGGCTCAGCGCCCAGCCGCCTTTTCCGCTGCTGAGCGGCCGGGTCCTTGACTGGCGGGGCTCGATTTCCGCGCCTCGATCCGCCCGTGGCCGTTGGCTTCGCCGAGCCCGCCTGGGGCTCACTAAGGCCGCCCCCATCCTACCTCCTCCCCGCTCCGCCTCGCCTCGCCTGCTGGTCCCCGCCTCCTTCCTCCCTCCCCTCCCTCCCTCCCCGCCACTCGGCGCGTCCCCTCCCCTCGGAGTTGGCAGCTCGGTGGCCCAGCCGGAATCTCGCAGCCGTTGGCGCTGAGGGCCGGAGCTCTCCTGCCGGAGTTGGGCTTCCCGGGCGGGGGGCGGACTGCTGCTGGGTCTCGCCCCGCCGGCCTCCTCCAAGGGCGAGCAAGAGGAGCGGCCTGCCAGCCAGCCAGCCAGCCAGCCGTCGCGCGCTCTGCATCCCTCCATCCGAGCGAGCCTCGCCGCGCAGCCTTTTGTTCCCCCGGCAAGAAGTTTGTGCGCTGAGAAGGGCCGTGACAGCTGCAGCCCCGTTCGGGAGCACAGAAGAGGCGGCGGCGGCAGCTCCTGCTACTGCTGCTCGCTTGACATGCAGCCCACGGCTCGGCTCGGCGGGGACGGATGCCGGGGGAGGCGGGCCCCGCTCTTGCCGCCGCCGCCGCGACGCACAAAAGGCTCCAACTAAACTTCCCTCCTGGAGAGCGAGCGAGCAAGCGGGGAGAGCTCCGTCTGCGCGGCCCGAGCATGGTAGGAGCCGAGAGCAGCCCGGCGAGGACACCGGCAGCCGGCTGTCCCGGCCCGTCCCCTGCGGGGGCGCCTCTGCTTCTGTCCGCCGGCTGCCGCCGCCCTTGACCGAGGAAGGAACGCCGAGCAGACTTCGCCACGAGATCCCCGATCGCTCCCAGACTGTACGGGGAGACCTGCCCGCCTACCTTCCGGGGCCTTTGCTAGCGGCGCTGAACCAGCTATCCCGCCCGCCGGCCGAGGATGCTGGGCAGACTGGAGGCGCCCGACGTCGCCCGGCATGAAGAACTTCCTGCGCTGGGACCGCGAGGGATCTCCGCCGCCAGGCGCAGTCCGAGCCAGCCGCGCCGCGCCGAGGGGCCGGCGAAGCAGCCTCTGCAAAGCGCAGTTCTGCCCGGGCATGGAGGCGCGCGGGAGGCCGGGCCTTTGTTCCGCCAGGAGAGCGCGCTCTGCGGCCGCCTTCCCGAGAGCTGGCCTTTTCCTCGCCGCCGCCGCTGCTGAGCTTCCGACCGGGGCGCCCTCTGGAAGAGGCTTTGTCGGAGCGGGCTGGAAGACTTGCCTTAAGGAGAACAGCCCTACCGAGCAACCGGAGGAGGCGGAGGGCTTGCAAATAGCAATCGGCAAAAACGGCTTTATGTGTTGGCCTTGGACTGCTAGCGTTTCCGCAGGAGCCATGGAATGCCTTGCCTCTTTCAAGGACTTCCACGGTGGAAGATGACTTCTCTCTGGAAAGCTCTGTAACTTCTGTGGAATACAAAATTGTGGCCTCCCAAGTCGTTATTAGGGATTTTCAAAAGACACCCTGCTCCACCATAGTCTATTTCATTTTGTTTTCAATGGAGAGCTTGTGAGGCAAGGGAGGGTTTTTTTGCTTGTTGTGGGACTCTTCTCTGCGGGGTCCCCCCCCCATTCTATTCTGTTCTGTTTTCTTTTATTTTTTGAAAAGTATGGGCAAGCCACTCAGCAGGCCTGACTGTTTAAGGCAGAGTCCTGCTTGCTTGGGGAAAGGAGAGGATGAGGATGGGTATATAGAAGACTGTTACGTCCCTCAGAGGTCCATCTACGACACCATGAGGATAAATGAGCAAATTGATCAGGGGTCCAAGACTAGCCAGCCTTCCAAGAGTACCCTTGAAAAAGGGGATGGCAGCACAATCTCTAGCAATGGGACTTTAGGGGCACCCAGTGTCTTTGAATCAAAGGCACCCGAGAGCAAAAAGTTAGACGAGAGGGTCATTTTTGATGCCTTGAAACTTAGCAGTGATGTCTCCAAGTCAGCACCGGCACCCCCAAGGCGGCGGCCAAACCCAGAGAAGAAGGAGAATGTCAACAGGCGGTCATGGAAGTCCTTTATGCCACCCAATTTCCCCGAGTTTGCTGAGAGAATTGAGGCCTCCTTGAGTGAAGTCTCAGAAGCTGGAGTTTCTAACCCATCCTTGCAAGAGAAGCAGGAGTCCACTGCCATGTTGGCAGAGAGCCCTAGGCAATCCGACCAGGGGGAATGCATGTCAGAGCCATTGACCCTGGAGCACATTCCAAAACTGTCTGGAGTTCCAGAAATTCAGGAAGTGAAGCAGCTAAGCGAAGCCTTCTGCGAGTTGTCTCAGGATGAGTGCCAGCCTCTTCTGGGACCAGAGGACATGGTAGTTGACCTGACCGGCGGCAGGCGGCGGGACCACAGGCTCTCGAGCGCCACGTGGCCAAGGGTGATGAAAAATGCCATCAGAGCTGGCCTTGGCAGTGGGCATCATGACACCTTGGAGGCAGACAACACAGACTGTGTCATAGAAACAGTGCCACTGTCTCCTTGCCTGAGTGAAGAGCTCCTGGACCCAGGGATGAGCATTCTCATCGCCCCCAACCTCCGGGAAAAGACTGAGTCGGAGCTGAGGTTTGAAGAGGATGAGCGATTGATCATGATGGAGGCTGGGGAGGAGTGGGAGGAAGGCTTGCTGTCAGGGAAGGCTGCTGAGAAAAGAAGTTGTTACTTGACAGATATTTCTGAAGAAAAGGAACAATTAAGTGTTCCAGCCGTGACAGTTACGGAAGCTGTAGAGAGTTTTGCTGGTGTCCAAGGGACCTCTAACCACCCATCTCACTGGCAAGAGCTGTGGGATGACTCACAGCTGCGAGCTGTCAACTCTGCTCCCGTTCCCCAGGAAACGCACCAAGACTTAAACGCTACTCTTGAGGAGGAGGAGGAGGCTGGTGCCTGCAATGCTGAAGCTGTAGCAGCCGAAGTGGAAGAGGAGGAATTTGCTTCTGGCCTAGAAGCCTGTGCCATCTCTCTTGCCCCAGAGCAGTTCTCTGACACGGATTCTGTGCAGATGTTCCTTGAACTAGAAAAGCTTTGCATGCTCGAAGAAGGAGGGGATGGAGTGGCTCCAGGTGATCTGGAGGTGCAGGATGCTAATCAGTGTTCAGAAGGGCTGGACATGCAGAAGGACTTGGCGGGAGCCTCCCAGCCCTTGACTCACCTTGAAGTCAGCATGGCAGACTCTGCTGTGGTCTCAGATCTGGAGGACTTTGATGCCACATGTGGTTCTCAAGCAGTAAGTACAGCAGAAGCTACCCTTTCAGAGTGCTACTCTGAACGGGAAACTTCTGGTGACTCTGAAAAGGTGACGTCTTCGAGTCCTCCGCTTGAAAAAGATGCTGTATCCCAACAATCACTCTCATCCTTAGTTAGTCAGATAGAGGAGTATGGGGCAGAACTGTTGGCAGGTCATGACCCTGCAGAAAGCCAGAGGGTCAAAGGATTGTTGGACTTTGCCATGGGTGAACCTGTGGCTTCAGTTGATTTCCCTTGCTGTAGAGAACCACCTCCTTGCATCCATGTTCTTGCCATAGGCAGAGAAACTGAGCAGCAGCAAATGCAGCCTGTCATTTGCTATGGAGCAAAGGAGGCATCCCCGAGCCATGATGAACTTGCCACAACTGCTGAGGAGCTGGACTCCCAACCAGATTTTGACTTTGCAAAAGAGATGGTGAGCGCTATGGGGAAAGAGCTGCAGGCTTGTGATGAGCTCAACCCATCAGAAAGGACTGACTTCTCCAACTGGGATGTCCCAGAGCTGGTTTCTGAGGATGAAGTTGCAGAACTGGATAAAGAAAACCTCCTTTGTGGGGGCCACGTTAGTGACATGGAGGATGTAGATAGTTCCTGGGTGCCTTCACAAAATGAGTTTGCATTGCAGGACTCTGAGGAGCCTCTAAAACATGTAGGCTCCTCTGAGAACTTGAAGGCTGTGTGTCAACTTGAGCCTTTAACAAGGCTGCTGTGTGATGGAGAAGTGTCTGCGAGTGCAGCCCTTCTCCAGGAGGAAACACCAGAGGTAGTTGAGCAGGGAGCAGCAGCAGCAGCCAAAGGCAGCCCAGTGGAAGAGAAGAGATATTGCTTGGAACCTGGAGACTTGGAGTTCCTTTTTGGGCAGAGCAGGGACAGTGAGATAACAAAGGATGAGGAATGTAGTGCCAAGTTTGTGTGTACCAACTCACAAGCTTTTGTTGAAGATTTGTTTGCTGCACAGCCCAGTTCAGAAGACTTGGCCTCTTCTTTTGGAGAGGAATCTGCTTCTGTCAGTCCCCTCCCTAGTGACAAGCCTCTTGATGCACCTCCAGATAGCCCGGAGGAGCTTGTTGATCCCTTTCCTTCTGCTGGAGTGGGGCCTTCCATCACTGATGGTCCAGCAGCTGTAACATGTTCCACCCTGCCTTTGCCATCCTCACTTGCTTCAACCCCAGAGGCAGGGGGGCCTGTTGTGGATGCTGCCTGCTTGTCCAGGTGTAAAGAAGTTTGTGGTCAAGATGGCCTTCCAGGAGTCACTTTGGAGCCCGAAGCAGAGGACCTGGTACCATTCTTACCAAATGCAGAGGAGATGCCCTCTGCTTCTGTGCCATTCTCCTTGGAAAATATGCCTCTAAGTAGAGAGGAACAGCCTGCTCTGGAAGAGCTGGCCAATACCACAATGTCCACCTCCACCAAGGAGCCTGTTCAGGTGGCCCAAGGGATTAAAGGCCTTGCCATCTCTATGTCATTGGGTGCAGATGGTGTGCCAGAGCCACCAGAAGTTGGTTTCTCTCTAGCACCTGGAGCAGTGTGGGATACTGTCTGCAGCACACCACAGCTGCCCTCTTCTGCAGCACCTGAAAGTGGAGAGGAGGAGCTGACCTCTGCTGTGCCAGACTCAGAAAGTACCTCCTTTTCTTCCCTCCTTGCTGAAGGGCCTCCTGCTGAAACGGATGGATTGGTTCCAGATAATGAGGTATTTGTTTCCCCTGGTCCCCACACGCTGCCATATCAGACATAAAATTACGTTTTTTGTAGGAAGGGAGTTGGGGAGGAAGTGAGGAGTTAATCCATAGTTGACTGACTGATGTAATTTGGAGTACAAAGCATGCCTGACTTTTGTCCCCTTTTGTTAAAATTTGGGTTCTCCTTCCCTATGAAAGGGGGTTACATT